TCTCTCTCTCTTTCTCTTTCCTTCTTTCCTTCCTTGATTTTCTCTCTCTCTCTCTCTCTTCCTTTCTTTCCTTATAAGGACATATTGAGCACTTACCATGTGCCAGACACTGTTCTAGGAACTGGAGCAGAAGAGTGAACAAAAGAGACAAAAATATCTGTCATACAGAGCTCAGATTCTAGCACGGAAAATATTTAGTAAGAAAAGTAAATGCATATTAGATAAATGTCAAGGGGAAAATATAGTAGGAAATAGTAATGAGAGAAGTGTGTGTATATAAGAGGAAACTATAGTTTTAGATAGCCAGGGAAGCCTCTTTGAGAAAGTGACATTTCAATAAAGACCAGAAGGAAGCAAGGAAGTGAGTAGAGGGAATATCCAGGGAAAGTGAATTTAAGCAGAGGCAACGGCAAGATCAAAGGTCCTGAGGCCAGGGCCTGCCAGTATGTTCAAGGAGTGCCGAAGTGACTTTTGTGGCTGGAGGAGAGTAGGCAATGGAAAGAGACATGAGATGAGGTCAGATGGCTATGGGTAGATTGCATCACATAGGCCTCTGAAAGTTTGCAGATTTTAGAAAGATTTCAGATTTTAGAAAGATTTTATTTTTATGGTGGCGGAAACTATTGAAGGATTTTGAGTTGATGAGTTTCATGGTCACTATTAATTTTGACAACATCAATGGCTATTTCGTTGAGAATAATTGATGAGGGGACAAGTTTGATATAAGAAAGACTGGTTTTCAAAAGCTCTTACAATAATCCAAGGGAAAACTAAAGGTAGTTTAGATAAGTGTAGCAGCAAAGAAGGTGGTAAAAAGTGACCCAGTCTGGACATATTTTGAAGGTTTGGCAAACAGAGTATGAGAAAACAAGAGGTGGGTGAAGAAGAATTCCAAGGTTTGGGACCTGAGCAACGGGAAAAATTCTCTTGCAAAGGCTGTATGGGGAACAGCTTTTGGGGGCAGGAGATTTGAGGGACCATAAACTTATAGCCATTAGATTAAATGAGATCATCAATGTAGTGAGTATAGAAGTCCAAGAACTGAGCTCTGGCACACTTCAACACTCAGAGGTAGAGTGATCAGCTGTGCTGGTTTGTCCAGGGCTGAGGTTTCCTAGGACACAGGACTTCTGAGAAAGCTCCAAGCAAACTGAAATGATTGATCACCTGCTCAGAGGTAAGGGAGATGAATGAGAAGCCCATGCAAAGTAATTGCAGAGCCATGGGAGACATGTTGCTCTAGGAGCCAAGGAAAGAATAAGTTTCAAGCAGAAGACAGCTCTCAACTCTGTCAAATGCTGCTGATGGGGCAAGGAAGACGTGGACTAAGAATGAACCTCTAGATTTAGAAACAGAGAGGTCAAAGGGGACCTTGACAAGAGCATTTTTAGTAAAAGAAGGAAGGGACAGAATGCCTGATTTTATTTTTTTAATATTTTATTTATTTAGTTTTATTTATTTATCTATTTATTTATTTATTTATTTATTTTTATGGTGGCATTGGTTAATGAAATCCAATAAGTTTCAGCTGTACACTTTAACAGTAAGGCATATATATGTTTACACTGTGTGTTCACCTCCCATAGTTAGATTTCTGTCACCACATATTTGACCCCCTTTACCCCACTTGCCTCCCCCTTCCCCCCACCCCTTACCCTCTGGTAAGCACTAGTCTATAGTCCATGTCCATAAGTCTCTGGTTGTTTGTCCTGTTCATTTGTTGGAAAGCCCGATTTTAGTGATTCAAGACTATCTTAGTTTGCCCAGACTACTATAACAAAATACCATAGACTGTGTCACTTAAACAGCAGAAATTTATTTCTCACAATTCTGGAGACTGGAAAGTCCAAGATCAAGGTTCCAATAGATTCAGATCCTAGTGAAAGCCCTCTTCCTGGCTTATGGACAACTGTCCTCACACTCTCCTTAGTGCATGTATATGTGTAGGGTAGGGGGAGAGGGAAAGGAAAAGGGAAAGAAGGAGGAGGAGAGAGAGAACTACTGAATGTGCTTTCTCTTCTTATAAGGACACCAATCCTATCAGATTAGGACCATACTCTTAAGACCTCACTTAACCTGAATTACCTCCTAAAGATCCTATCTCTAAATACAGTCACATTGGGGGTTAGGGCTTCAACGTATGGGTTTGGAGAAGGGACACAATTTAGACCATAGCAAAGGGAGAAATTGGAAATAACAAAATATAAGCAACACTTCGATCAAAAGAAGGTTATTTGCTTTAAAGTGGTAGGGGAAAAAAAGTATGTTTGTATGGCTATGGGAATAATCCAGTAAAGAGGCTTACCTCTTTACTAGGCTTTGGGTGAGAGGGAGTAGGATCTAAGGAAAACTGGGATGGACCTGAACGAGGAGCAAAGATGGTTTATCTACTGAAACAGGAGAGAAGGCAGAATTTGTGAACACAAATACAGTTGGGTCTATAGGTGTAGTGAGTGGGCTTATCAAAATTCCCTTCTGATTACTCTATTTTCTTGGTAAATAGAAAGAAAAGGTCATCAGCTGAAAGTGAGAATGAGAGAGGAGCTGATGGCAGTTTGAAGTCAGGAAAAGGAAGGAGAGTCATCTGGGAGAATAGGAGAGTGATGGACTAAGGGAATGAAATGTAATTGCAAGGGAGCAGTAAGGACCCACTTAGTACTGAGCACCCTTTTAGAATGGAAGTCCAACACACACGCCTTAGCAGAATTTAGTATGATGCAGCCCAGGAGGGAATGTGCACAATAGATGATCGGAAAACTTGGGGTCTGGTCGGATTTTCACCATATAGCCATGTGAGTCACTTATCCTCTGTGAAGCTCCTTGGATTTTTATCTGTAATATCAGGATATTCACATCTGCACTGCCTTCCTCCGAAGAATCATAAGGTGGAACATGAAAGATATTCCCTAAAATATCAAATGCTAAACACACCAAGCTTACTAGGAGACTAGAGCAGATAAAATTAGAGCAGCGCGCGCGCACACACACACACACAAAAGAGGTGTGAGGCCCCATGGGGTCCCCAGGTCCAAATGAAGTCTTTCCAGAAAGGATGGCCTAAGGCTATTTGGAACAACAGGTGGGAGGTGATGTAAAAGCAAAAGAGAAAGAAAAGAGAGTTGAGGAGGACACACTCCGCCAACAACTACTGGCTGCTGTGGCCCAGGGCTGGCCCAGGGCTGGCCAAGGCTAGTGCAGCTGAGAACATAGCACTCCCTCAGCAGACACCCAGGGTGGGGGCTGCCACTGGCCCATATGCACTCTTTGTGTGATTTAGAAATGGGTGCCCCTTCCTCAAGAACCTTTACTTCCACTTATCGGAAAACTGTCCAGATGCACCTACTTCCTTAGAATATTTTATTGATATATGCCTAGAAAATTGTTGTAACAAATACAAAAATCTACTGTGTTATTGTGTGAATGGTGCCCCCTAGGTCTGTGTAGTATACAACACCATGCAGCAGTTCTGTCTTGGCTGATCCTCAACAATAGCCAACTCTCTTTACTGAACATCGTCTTATAAAGAATCCTTTATTCCTATATTTAAAATATCAATATATAATATGTTTACATTTTTGAGATTGAATTTGAACACTTGGTTTTTGTGACTTAGGCCTAGATTAGAAATCATTACATTACAAAATCATTAACTTAAAGGAATGATTTTACATGCACATTTGGGCAGTTGGAAATTCATGATGCATATATATCATGTGCACTGTTCTGTTAAAAATTAAGCATTTAGAGCATTAACAAGTTAGACTCATTTTAATTCAGGCCTTTTTTGTTGTTGTTGTTAGCTAAATCATAGGAATTAAAAACTGAATTTAAGGGAAACAAGTATCTCAAAACGTTGTTTAGCAAGGTCAAATGCAGTTTTCTTTTCTCACACAGATCCTGTTTCTCTTTCTTGGATAATTGCAACCTTGTGAAATAATCACTAATAATAGATACAGCTTAGTAGATTGCCTCCCTGGCACTCTGTGGAGCACTTTAAGTGTATGTTATCCTCTCAACTAACTCATGAGGTCACTATTATTAGCTCACTTTACAGATGAGAAAACTGAGGTTTGAAGAGGTAAGGTAATTTTGCCCAAAGTAAATACCAGTAAGTTTGTGGAGTCAAGATTCTAACCCACTCTCCTGGTGTCGATAGCCACTTGTCCTCTGTCACTGGTGTGTCAGTCTCCTTTGGCACTTGATAAAATGATGGATGCTTAAGAACCATTAAATACCAGATCTCTAAGTTTTAAGGGCTTAGCTTTGCACTAGAAAACATACCATTGAAGCCAAAACTCATAGATGGTATTTATCTGTGGGATCAAAGTTTGTCATTCAGTATCCTAAACATCATGTGTCCTCAGTGCAAGGCAAACCCAGCACCATAATTTGAAAAGCAACTCAGCCAATAATACTATTCCCGTATATGAGAGTCTAGTACTATCAGCAAAATATGCAAATTCCAATTTTAAGACTCAGGAAAATATTTCAGAGCTGAAATATCCACATATTTTTGGCTAAATAACTGAATGAAATTCTCTCTACGAAGCCAAAGTTCAATATTTCAATTTATTTAAAGCCCTGTCCCACCTCAACTCTCATTGCCGTATTCTTTGTGAAAGCCCCCCTAGTGGCCTAGAACAGTTAGCTTCCTTAACCAGCAAGGTAGAGAAAGATTTGGGAGTACTGCACTTCATTTTCTTTGTCTACTTTGATGGAAACTGATCTTTCAGCAAACCGTGAAGGTGAAATCAGGGGAAGGGTGTGAAATATCAGTTTTTAAATGGGACAGAGAGGTGACAAACCTGTTGACTTCTGTGACAATGAACTATAAAGAAGATCCTTGAGGCCCCTAAATCCTAGGGACTTAATGATTTAAGAGTGGGGACCAACCCTACTGACATCACAGATCCCCCTGCAGTCACAGTGCTGCTGAGACAGTCAGGAAGATGTCCCAGAGAAACGAAGACTTTAGTCAGAATATGATCAAGGTTCCTTAGTACTTCGGTTTCTGAGAGAGAGAGAAAAAAAAATCTCTACTCCTTTTAAAAAAAAATCAAATCAAAAAATAAAGCCAGGAAGTCAAGCATTATGAGTTCAGCTATTTATTTGTCTCATGGATTACTCAAGATCTCTAAATTTCTCATACTTTACTATCTGACTTATATTTCATATTACACATAAACAAGGTAACAAATCCCAAAGCAGGCTGTTGGGTGGCTTGGGCACAATAGGGTGAGAAATCATTCCCTATTACTTTATAATGATTTGATCAAAATGAATGCATTTTAACACAGTTCTCGAGGTGTCTAATGGAAGTACCTGAGATGTTAAGTTCTTCTAGATATATAGGTGTGACTATGGCCTGGTGGAGTTGGGGTATTGAGAAGTGGAGGAAGGAAGAGGTGAGTGTAAAACAAATAGGAAGCCTCTCTTTAACTTTCACCATATGTTCAGAAACTGCCTTCAATTAAAAAAAAAAAATTACCGCCCCTGCAAAAATTCACTCGCCATAGTTCCTGATCTGATTCAGCATTCTGGTTGCCTAGATACATATGTAAACAAAAGTGCCTTTCCAACTGCAGAGGAACAGCCAGATGAACCTGATGGCCTCCTTCCTGGCTCAGCCAGTGACCAAGAAAAGAAAGCAAGTACTTTTAGATATTCATATAAAAAATAGAATATTTGTTAATCCTCTTTAAAGCTTAGCATTGCTTAGAAAGTTCTAAAGAATCCAGGAAGAGTTGTTTTTCTTCTTACTGTATCCAAATTTCCTGTTGTTTTTTCTTTTTCCTGCTTTGATAAAGTGATTAATGACAGCATAAGCTGAAAAGCAAAAAGGTCTCAGTGTGTAACTACATTCCTTGGACTGACTTTTAATATGTAGGGCTAAAAATTAACAAAAAATTGATTATTTTTTATGAAGATTCAAAAGAAACTGATAAACTCAAGATACAGACGTTATGTCTAAAATAGAAAAGAATAATTGAATAGAATGCTTATTGGTACTTGTCTCATCTTACCCATTAATGAAAAATAACATTCAAAGAAGCAGTGTTTTTAGACTTTGCTTTATAATTCTCATAAAACCTGACCAACTCATTGTGATGGAAGACCACTAGAAAGCTAGCACAATATCAAACACTGATATTTTGTATCTATTGGCTGTACCACACACTAGCTGTGTGACTTTTGGCAATTACTTAAGTTCTCTGTTTCCTCTTCAATGAAGTGAGCTAATTAAGCCTATCATACAAAGAAGTAAGGTTTGAATGAGCCACTAAAGAAAGGGCTGAGCAGGTAGGAAGGACTCAGTCAATAACCATTATTATTATTATTATTATTATTATTATTATTATTATTATTACTACTACTACTACTACTACTACTACTATTATCTGATCTTGAACAAGTCCATTACTTCTCTGCTCCTCAGATTCCTCACCTATGAAAATAATCATCTTAAATTCTGTCTGTAATAAAGAAGGATTTCAATTATTTGAGGTAACCAATGTTGTCTTTTTGGTAAAGATAACGATTCTTACCTTATGGGACTGCTGGAAAAATAAAATCACATTATATACATGAAAGTATTTTATAGGCCATTAAGTTATAAAGGACCATAACATTTTAAAGTATTGTTATAAAACGTGAAAACTGACACATGTAAAGAATCCCATAATAATCGCCAAGTTGTTCGTGACTTTTTATAATATCATTCTAGCTGGAAGGAAAAGGGATAAAACAGAGCCGACTCCTATATTCAATTAGCAGAATAATAATTTGCTTTCTTAGATACACTTAAAAAATTGCATAGAAAAAAAAAAGGACATAAATATGCCACAATGTTAATGGTTTTTGCTCTAGGTAGACTTATAAGTGAAAATTTTTTCCCTGTATCTTTTATTTTTCTATATTTTTCTGAATCTTCTTCCATCATAAGGTTTAACCATTGTTACTTTAAAAGTATGTAAGTCGTACATGTGTTTTTGAGAGGATGCTATTTACGATTTTCCAAATAAGACTTAAAAATTAGTAAAATAAAGCAGATACATATCTAATTTTTTCACTCAAGAAGAAGAAGACAAAAACCCAGTAATTTCGTATCCTTGGATATAATGTTCATTATATTCTTTCATTCCACAAGTTCCTAGAAAGGGCTACTAGGCACCAAACATATAAGACCAGAAACCAGCCAGTTGAAGAAAAACAGAGATCGACTCCTACAGGCCAAGGGTCATAGTGGAGAGGAGAGAAGGAAAGAGCTGGCATTAGCAGGTGAGGAGCCCAGGGGCCAGCACTGTTCCAGGGGAAAACTGGAGTGAAAACACGAACCAGGGCAGAAAGCCAGTCACATTTTCTAGGGAGTTAGGATGGTTTTCACAACATGGATACCTGGGCACCCAGTGGATCAGTATATTCCTTCTCTGGGGGAAAACTGGGCTTCAGAGCATCGGACCCACTGCAGACCCCCACTCAGCAGTGAGAAGAGAGGGTCTAAAGCACTATCATGGCAGCTCACGGGCTCCATCCTGAGCAGCCTTGAATCTGTTTTGTTGTCCACTGCCAAGGGGGCCAGGTCACAAGAGCCTGATTATTGCCAAGTGTTATTAGCTTAAATAATCATTGATTTATCTTTTATTTTTAAGTTTTATTGGAGGAGAAAGATTTCTAATTAAGTTCCTTAGGCCTTAAAATAAGAAGTAGTTGTTGCTTAGGCATTTGCAAAAGAAATGATTTCTGTATGTGGGTCTTAACATATTCTGCTCACCATTATAGAATAACATAAACCAAGAAAAAATATCCTAGGAACATATTTTAAGTTTTAAAATGAGGTGGAATACCACTCATTCTCTCCCTATTGAATCCAGTTCAGTGATGGGCTATTAAAATAAGGATAAAAATGTGTCCTCTTTTTAAACTTAAAAATAAAAGAACATTAGAGTTGAAAACAGTTTCAGCATATGCAAAACAGTGAGTACATTTGGTATCCTCTTTACTCCTAGAAATGCTGCAAAATTATGAACTTTCATGCAAACAGAACTTTCTTGTGGTACCATGTTGTTGAATTAATTCAGTGTTCATATGGCCAGCTATGTTTAATGCTAATAAGTTATGTATAAAACTGTGCTCTGTACTTTCTCATTGACTATAATTATCTGACATCCATCTTTCTTAGAAAACAAAATAACCTGCATAGACTTGTTTTCTAGTCTTTGGCTTTGTTTGTGAAAATTTTCTGACTCCCCTCAGAATTCAGCATGTCAGAAATAATTCACTTTGTGAATTTCTTTCATAACTCGGCCAATGGATATTTCATTTAAAAAATTATCTGTGAAAAACCTATGGCTTTGACCTTTCCAAAAAGTTTTTCCTGACTGTGATACCAAATCTATGAAATGCAACTCTCTAGTTATCTTTCCAGAACTTGGTTTTAGTTTTAGTCTCTAGTAATAATAAAGGGGTGTATGCAAAATTAACTGGCTTTATTGTAATCTGTATTATATATTTGGTAAAATTAAAACATTGATATAAGGATAAGATAGGATTTCTCTACAAAGAAGCTTATGATACATTTTAAACCCATGACCTTTGTTTTAGATGACAGTATCTCCAGCCAAAATGTCAACCAAGAATTCTACAGATCTAGTTGAATATGTTGACAAGTAAGTCTGTAAATTACAACTAATTTTAACTATTTCCTGTGTTTAATGATTCAATTAGAGATTAAAGTGCCTGAATGAAATCTTTGAGTTCATCTAAACTAGTCCTCTGCTTTGGAAAGAGACTGCATTAAACCATCTCAAAAAGATGAACCTTTCTATCCTATTCCCTTCTGATGGACAGAGCAAGCCGATTCTACTGGCATCCCCTTTAAATAACCTCCATAGGTTCCTGAAGACTTATGAATAAAGTAATACAACATAGGCAATGAATGGCATACAGCAAGATCTGATATAGTTAACCATGACTTTCAAAATCAACCAAATAACTCTGTTTATATTTCATGAAAAAAAGTCAGGAAAATTTGAAATATATTAAATTAGCCGTCAGAAAATTTTGATTCAGCTGTTTACAGTGCCTCACCTGGAGTTCATCCAGGGAAGGTTAATAGAAGAAGGACAACTCTGGAGACTTGGAAATAGAACATATTAATGATACATGTGCAATGTCCAAAAGGTTCTAGAATTCCAGTTTGAAAAGGCAGGATCACAGAGGCAATGCATATTACTTTGAGTTGTTTTCTATTCCACCTGTTGAAGGAGGATTAGGTCTTATGCACCTATTAATGTTTTCAGGACACTTGGGATTTAGTCTCAGTCCTTCCACAATTTACTGTATGACCTCAATCAGTCCCATAATATCTCTGGGCTTCAGTTCTTTCATTTGCCAAATGAAGAGGTTAGAAAAGAAGCTCTCTAGGGCCTATTTAACTTTAAAATAATTCTGATCCTAAAATATGCATCATGACCACCGAGGAAAAATCACCCAACAAAAGAAAAGTGAAGAGATAAATCTAAATACTGAATTTTCCTTTTTTAAAAGTATATTTTATAATGAATATAAAAAATTTTAATTTACTGATTTTAGTGCAATATGTTCAGTTCACAATTTCCCTTTTCCTTATTGAACTGGACTTAATACATTCTAAATCATTCAACCACAGAATTTCAGCCCTTCTTTTCACGCTGCCCATAGCTTGTATTTGCTTATGTGAAAAATTTAGAGAAAATGGAACCAAACAAGGGGCAGGGTTTTTTTTTAATTATTTAAAAATGACATTTGGATAGATGACATTTTTTCTGAGTTAAGGGCAATGAATGTGGTATGTACAAAAATAACGATCATAAATGGATATATTAGCTCAGCTTGCCATGCAAGGAGAAAGGAACACTAATTTCCATCCAACTCTTCATATGACGCATGGAAAACAAAAACCATTCTTCTGATCTGTCAAATTCTGCTATGAATCTAAGTGGATTTCTTTAGCCCAGGCTGGTGACCTACATCCCAGGAAATGAGGGAACAAATTTCTGGAAGATGGCAACAGACTTAAAAAGAAAAAGGAAAATTTTGCCATTTCTCAGATGCCAGAGCAACTGAAATTAAGAGAAAGGGTGAGAAATAGTCTAAATTCAAAGCAAAAACATAACGAAGATTATCTGGCCCCAACATTCATTTCTACATTGATCACTCCCACATCTCTTCTCTTGCTAAGCTGTATAACTAGAACTTTCTATGTACCACCTGAGATGGTTAGTTTTTGTTTGGTCTCTCCCCACTAATCTCCCAGAACAGGCTGCAAGCTCCCTAAAGGCAGGGACTCTGAAGCCTCATGTTTTTGATACCCCACCAGCAGGCTACCACGGTACACTGAATGTGGATTGTTGACAGATTTAATGGAGGGGAATGGTGGGACTTTGATTCTTTAGGGCTCTGCTTAAAATGGTAGACTTCTGAGTAGCTGAATAACTGGAAAAGCAAAATGGCACTCTAGCATTTCAATCATCAGTGCAGATATTCTGAGTGGACTTATTGAATCCAATAAAATAAACATAAAAAACAATCAGGTGTAAAATAACTTCATCCTTCAAGTCATAGTACTCATTGAGTGGCAACGAATTTATTGATATGCAAACAGAGTACTTATACAAGTAAAAGTCATTATTGACTCATTAAACTGCCTCAATATATGTTATATATCCCAGAGGTTCTGCCTTATATATCTATGTGGGTATATATATGTAGGTAATACTAAAAGCAAATAATAACAACTGAAAATCCAGCAACCAAAGAGGTAATGCCTATCCTATGAACAAGTTTTGGCTAGAGGTACACACATTAAAAAGATAGGCAGACAGAGTGTCTACGGGGCCTTTCTCAGCCTCAGGCAGTTGGAGCAACACTCACATTATTAGTACTTGTTACTTGCAGCAACACTCACACATTATTAGTACTTGTTTCTTGCTAGGTCATATTAATAATCCATGGGGCAGGGGAAGAAGGAATGCTTGCAATCATTTATTAGACAATTATGGTGACACTATATTAAATGCAGTAAATAATTCTGATTTCCATATGTTCATTGATTCACAATGAGCAGACATCCACTGATTTTATAAGTGTACCTAGTGTTCATTTAAGCAGAAAGCACCAAAGTCTGTTTTGTTTTTCTTCTTTTTCTTCTGCTGGTAGAAGGAGCACTTCCTGGAGGCCAGGCACCTCAGGTCTACTCTTGAATCTGCCTCTAATCAGCTATGTGACCATGAGAAAAAGAAAAAGTCTTTTCTATGGGCAATCTCTGCCTCCTCTATAAAATGGGGCTGGGTTGTAAGTGATGGGTGATGAATAGCCTGACTGCTAAGGGCTCACTGTTCAAATTAAGACCCAGATTTTATTTCTAGGATGTGGATTAGAAGGATGCCTCTACATGCTATTTCTCAACTCTGCCCACAATTTCTCATAAATTTTCCCTTATGTAATAAAATGGCTAAGGTTTAAAAACATACATTATTCCCCCATGCGAATTAATTTTGAATGGAAAACAAATTCTGCCCATAAATCGCTGTTTTTTCCCATTGACACTCCTTAAAAAAATGAATCAAATAATTGGTAAGGTCCCTTCTACCTCTAAGATCCTTTGGTCTTCAAAAATTGATTATTACCATTTATTCACTTAACAAATATTTATTGAGTATCTACTACATGCCAGGCATTATGCTAGGCATTTGTAGAGCCTTTGGTCAACAAAACAGAAAAAGACCCCTGCCTGCATAGAGCTTCTGTTCTATCAGGAGGAAAGGACATGCATTGTCAGACAGCCCGACAAGTGTAGGTCTCAATGAGAAGTTGGCATGTGAATAAAGACCAGATGAAGGAGTTTGCCATGTGGACGACTCAAAAAAGAGAAAAGTTTTTAAGGCAGGAACATTCCTGTGGTGTGGCAGAAACAGAAAAGGGGCAAAGATGACTGGAATAAAAAGGGAAGTATAAATTTGAACAATGATGCTTAACTGGATCAGGAAAATGAGTTGTTGTCGGGGCAAGGCTATAGACAATACATATTTCAGGAATTCTCCCAGTAGTACATTTTGGGAAAATGAGAGTCTGGCTGTCAGCCAAAGAATGCTATTTAAAATTTGGATACATAAAACTATCAGTAAGTCAAATGGGCAAAATAATAAATGATTAATGATTTCTCTTTGTGATAGAATACGGCATTCAAGGTCTAGAAATTATTCATCTTCAAGGTTTTTTTTCTTAGTATCATGGCAGATATTTTATTTTACCATGATGTATTGCTTTTGTTGCTACGCAATGAAGACAGATATTTCACATTACAGTACACGAGAAAGGAAGACAGAATGCTGTTGGTTGAGCTTTCTATGGGCTAAGTCATGTTAGGTTGAAGATCTTCCAGGTTTTATTTTGCAATATCATATCCATCTTTGAGGGCAACTAGCTCCCAGGTGAGAGAGCTCAAAATAGTCTGCACAGATATGAAGAAAGTGATACATGGCGCACTCTGGGTTGTTAGAATACTTTTTATTACCCGGCAGACACTCTTCTACCCTCAACAGTTCCCTGGCACCACTGACCATTTTGATTGTCACAGCCTCCAGCTCTTATTCCGTGTTAATCATCTCATTCAATCCTCAAGATCACCCTAAGAGGTGGATAGTGTCACTCTTAAAGATGAAGACACTGGGATGCAGAGGAGTGAAATATTTGCTCAAAGTCACATAATGTTCTGACAGAACCAAGATTATAACCCAGAAATGTATGTCTATGTTACTTCAAAGCCTATTTACTTAAGCACCCCTCTATCCACACTTTTCTGCCAGCTATCCTTTCAATGCACACACACAGCCTGGGACATCTTCACCTCTAGCCTCTCTCCTGCAGCATGGAAGATGTGATGCAACCATGG